TTAAAAAGTCATCCAACTAACAATGTATGACACTCTTAATCTCAGTTTAGCATATGTACAATTTCACAAAGGGCAAACTAAAAAATAATGCCGAAAAACCATATATTTCTTTCACTTTTTTCCTATTAACCAAACAAAACATGTAAGCATACTTATCTAGAAAACCATCTTACAGAGAATAGGTATAAAATATCATTATGACTTGAAATAAAATAAAACAATCAGAGGGCTAAAAAAAAACCCGAATTCATCAAATGTCAAAAGATGAGAAAAACACTCTGTTTGGTTTATGAAAAAACACAAAAAAAAGAAAAGAAAAGAAAAGAAAATTGTGGTAGTATAGTATTTTCACAAAAAAATCCAAAAAAAGAAAAAGAAAAAGGAAAAACTCAACCAGAAAATGCATCAATCACAATCCACAAGCAAGCATGTACGTCTTTATATGTAGCAAAACTAATATTCACTGGTTAAATTCAATTAGAAACAAATGAAGTTTTGGACTATAGAAACATATACATTAAACAAAAAACTAAAACTAACCCACTAGTTTTAAATTACAGAACAAGAATCGAAATATTAAAGAATACCCAAAAAACACGAGTAAACCAATGCACTCAAAAGTGAATTGAACCTATTTTTCAGGTTGTGATGAACTATAAATTCATATGTATGAGTAATATAGAAGTGTGGAAAAAAGGGAAATAATGTCACTGCACATGGGCATAATGTCTAGCTCATGTATGTGTTTCCCTGTGTGTGTGTGTCTATGTGAATGGCTAGCTGTGTGTCTTTCAAGCTTTGTGTCTCATATACACACACACACAGTGATACAGAGAGAGAGAGAATAAATATAGATAGATAGAGAGAGAGAGAGACTCACAAAGTTAGGCACAGCAGAGGGGGAATAGAGAGGCGACAAGGTCGGGGCTAGTCGATACCTTTGTCGAAGAAGAAGAAGAAGGGTTTACTTTAGGGTTCCAAAATGTCGTCGTTTTGGAGCCAAGATTTATAATTATTTAACTTTAAAACGACATCGTTTTAATCCACAGAGTGCACATTTCATTTAACATATTATGCAATCAAATATCATTTGTTGCAAAACAAAAATAATTTTAACCTTTTTTTTTTCTGCGACAAACATGTATTGTCATTAAGTATTATTTTTTTTCTTATTTTTCTTTATTTTGACAAAACTTTTGAGACCAAAAAATAATTTTGGTGACAATTTTTTTTGTTGCCCCTAAAATTAGCATTTGGTGCAAAATTTTTTTGGAGGGAACGTTTTTGCGAAGATTATTGGCGACAACTACAAAAAATGTTACCAAAAATATTATAAAAGTTTACCACGAGAAACATTTTAAATTATCGCCGAAAATATTTTTTTTTACAAAAAAATTTATTGTTCACCGCCAAAACTCGTCGCTAAAAAACAAATTTTTTGTAGTGAGAGACCTCTGAAGTTCAAGGTTGAAAATCACATCTTCTTGAAGGTTATGCCTAAGAGGGGAGTGGTCAGGTTTGAGAAGTAGGAAAAGTTGTTGTTGTTGAGGTATATCGGGCCCTTCGAGGTACTCGAGAGGGTTAGTACAATTGCTTTTGGTTGGCATTACCGTCAAATATATCAGATGTTCATTCGGTGTTCTATGTCTCTATGCTTCGAAAGTACACTCCAGATCCTACACCTGTGTTGGTTTGGGGTGAGTTAGTTGTTGATACACATGGGACCTTCAAGGAGAGATCGGTGCATATCATGGGTAGTCGGCATCAAGTTTTGCAAGGCAAGATAGTGAGGATGGTGACAGTGTTGTGGCAGCACTAGGGTATTGAGTAGGCAACATGGGAGCGTGATGACACTGTCCGTGCTACTTGTTCTTTTCTGTTTAAGGATAAAGGTACATTTCTTGTAGTCATAGAGTAGTACACCACTTATTGCATATGCATTTTGTTATATGTGCAAGTGTGTATAATTTCAGGAACAAAATTCCTTTAAAGGGAAAAAATGTAAAAGTCAAAAAAAAATTAAAACTTAATTAAAAAGGGCAAAATTGTAATTAGTCGATACGGTGCGGGTTAAAAATCTAAATTTTTCTAGAACTTGGATGATGAAATGGATCTTATCGTTGAATTCGTATTATAAAATCTAGCTATCCAGTCAATTTTTGTGAAATTCTGAGACAGTCAGATTTTTTACATTTTACGAGGCGATCGGGTATTGTGCGACTAAAATAAATGCGATCAGATTTTATTCACAGAACCCAAAAAATAATTTAAACTTAGTTCAATAAAAATATACTGAACTTAACTCAGGACAAGATTTAATTGATTCGGAACAAAAATGGACCAATCAAAGTGAGACATGTGGCACAATGACGACCAAGCAATAGAGGAGTATAGAAAGGGAAAATATTAGATTTTTCCCCCATTCTTCAACCTACAAATTTTGGAAATAGAGGGAGAGAAAGAGGGAAAAGAGAGAAAACTCAAAGTTCTCCCACCTTCTTTCCTTGATCCACCAAGATCCAACCATTGGATGATTCGAGCCAAGATTTAAAGTTGCTCTACGCAACGAGAGCTAAACACCCAAACCAAAGATCTTGGTTTTCTCCAAAATCTCAAAAATGAAAATTTTAGGAGAAAGCTTGGAAGGTTTGATTTGGAGTCTTTGGGGCTTCTACTACACTACAAGAGGTAGGGTTCCCTCCTATCTAGATTTATTTTCAACCTAGGGTTGTTGTGTGAAATGGGTAGGATGCTAGAGGTGAATTCTCATGTATAGCACACACCTAGTGTAGCTAAAATATGAAATTAATTCTTGCATGATTTGGGTTGATGAAATTGTTGATTTGGATTTGATAAAATGGTTAGTTTGGGAATTCTATGTGTTTACATATTTTTGCCTACTTAGTGTTTGATAAAACGCTTAGGAATCCCAGTATGTTATTTGAATTGAAAATGCTATAACATGCTTAGTGATGTTATGAAATGTTATTATATGTTTCATGATATAATTGACATTTTGAGTTGTATGAGATATTGTCCTATGCTCACATGTCATAGTTAACATTATGATGAATTGGTAATGGCAAATGTAAATGACATTGCATATGCATAGGTTGTGCTACATTCATAGGCATTAGCATTAGTGTGAGTGTGTGGGTGCATGAGTTAGTCAATCACCACATGGTGAGTTGATGGGTGGACTTGGGAAGTTTGGATCGAGGTCCAATTGAGTCGCACAAAATATTGCATAAAATAATTGTGTCAGGTATAGCAAGAAGGGATAGATTCTCCCTTAGGTGCAAGGCCCGATTACTTGGTTCACTTACTTGACCAATGGTGAAATACTAAAAAAGTGTGCCGATGTACTCAAAATCGAAGTTGTGATGCCCTCAAATGTTGTGCTGGTGTGGTAGAACATTGGCGTGAGGTCCAAGAAAGAAACAAGATTTTATAAAATGGTCATTGAATATCTAACATCAATGGCAGGGACTTTGAATGCCTGCATGCATACGCATTGCATGGCATGGCATGTGTTGTGAAAGCTGGGGGAGGGGTTTGGGTTTGCATGGCATACGTGTCTTCCATCCCATGGCATGACATGAAATTGTAGCATTCATCTATGAAAAGTACGTGTTTGAATGAATATTTGATATGATGACCTGTATATATTTGGGTTGGAGAATGACCCCCATAGGAGATAACCTATTGAATGTGGCTCACCCTTTATGGGTATACATTTCAAGTGCTGGACAAGCTCTAGTAGACGACCCTCACTTGGGCCTGTGTTCATGAAAGATCCGGATTATGGATCTTGAATTATATTTTGTAGTCCCTCGTACATTTCTATTTTGGCTTTGTATAAATTATATACAAAACTTGTCAAAAGTATAAATTATATACAAAACTTGTACTTTGACAAACGCATGTAATGGGATACTCTTGGACCTTATTATTTTGTAAACAAATGATTGAAATGGATGTTGTATGAGTTTGTATGGTGAAAAGTTAAAAATTGAGAAATTTGGTGAAATCTGGGCCCGAGATATTGGTACCTAGCCTCACAAGTATCGATACTCCGATGATAATGGGCTCAGGTACCAGTGCCATGTTGTCGTGGGCCCAGTTACTAGTACCAAGGATTATAGGTACCAGTACCAAGCAACCAAAAGGCTCAAGTATCGGTACTACTTAGTAGAGGTACCGGTACCTCTTCTCGAAAATGGATTTTTGAACTCCAATGCTTTCGAGCCCTCATATCTTGGGCTCTCTTCTTTGGATGACATAAATGATTAAATTTTAAGTCCTAGACATTAGAGTTAGACCTTGGAATGGTCATATGACTAATATGTGAACAAGTTATGTATTGGGTAGTGATCTTGTGCAAAGGAGATTCTGTTTGAATTTCCTTTGATAGTAAACTATAGAATACAACATGGTATCGGGTTATACGATATTCATGGGTTGATTGGTGATCAACGGGTTGAGAAATGACCCTCGAATTTTGGGACGTCACAATTTTTGTAGTGGATTGAGACTTGTGTTTGTATTTTTTTGTAGTGGATTGAAACTGTGAGGCTTGACAATGATTTTTGGTTGGGAAACTTTGTTGATTTTTGGTTGACAGTAAACTATAGAATACGACACACACAAAAGCCTATATTGGCCTTAATGTCTAATTGGGTTTGGTGTTGCCTCTGAATCTAAATAATCCCAAATTTTGTTCTCCAAATTTGAATCGGCTGAAGTGAAAAGGGCTTCAACACCCTCTCTTTTAAATTCGACTTCCTTTTTTGAAATTATTTAGTTAGACCACCTAACCCATTACTGGTTACTACATGGTCTTTATCACAATAACACATTTTTTCCCTTCCCACCAAGGGTAATGTTCATTAGCAAAGTATATTTGAAATTTTGTTTTTGTGTTTTGCTTGTATCTGCAGTATGTCTGTATGTATGTGTTATATATTTTACTTATTTTTTTTCATTTGCATTGGCAACAGATGAATTCACTGCCCTTGAATGACGAAAATATTGATGGACCTGCCCCGCAATTTGATGTTGTTGTCATGGCTGAATCAACTGATGCTTCTGATATTAAAGATGGGCTGGAACTGGATGGTGTTGATAAACTAGCCAACAAACATCAACGGAGGTTCACATCTGCTGTATGGAAAGGCTATACTTTTCTTGAACCAAGTCCAAATGGATTGTTGAGATACGAATGCAAGAAATGTAAGCAAGTTCATACTGTTGATAGCAAGCACGACACTGGTAATTTCAAGTGACACACTGTAACTTGTTTGAAGATAATCACCTATAAGATTGGTTAGATACTTATAACCCAATCCAATGGTGCTTTGCGATCTAGGTCTTACAAATTTGATGCAGGGAAGTTTAGAGAGTTACTAATTTGTGCAATTGTTAGATATGAACTTTCATTCGATCCTTGGTATAAAATTTAGTTTTTTGAATTTTTCTATAAGAAGCTTTGTGGTGATGAATCAATTGAGTTCACTCATGTTCGTGAGAAGCTATTCTCTTTGTTTGATAAGTACATTCACAATTCTTCTAAGGCTAGTTCTTCATAGTCATCAGTTTCTCGGGATGTGGATCATGGTTATCGTGGTATTCAACAATATTATGGCATGAATCAGAGCAAAACTAAGTTTATGGTGACATGATTTTTTATTTTACTTGCACTGAGTTAGTAACTTAGTATTATATGATATTATGATTGATTCTCTTTTAACTTTTTTTTCTTCTTGAATATAGGAATTTTGACTCATATGAGATTCATGAATTCATTTGTAGTGTACAAAAATGTCAATTACAATTGAATTTGGATGAGCCTAGGCTGATAGAAATGAAAAACTTAAGGTAATCGGAAAGCTCACCAATTTCGTTATCCTGAACTTGCTCTATTGGCTCATGATGTGTTAAGTGTTCCAATTTCTATGATTACTTCAAAGTTTGCATGGGTATCGATGGTAAGGTTCTTGACCAGTCGGAAGTTGTTGAGGTTTTGATATGCACAACAGATTGGTTGTTTGTAGCAAGAAGTAAACATAAGTTGTGTGATTGCTTTGGAATTATTGTTTTAAATAATGAAATCTTAAATCTTATGCATATATATTTGTTTTATTTATATCATGCACAAAATGATTTGGATAACATTATAAAAGATATGATTAATATAAATGTTGACAAGGATGGCTCTATTGTGATTGATGATGAATATTGATTAAAGGTACATCATCATTTTTAATGTTTAATCTATTAGTTTTTCGTTATCTTGTTTGCCTTTTCTGATAGAAGTATTTCTTCTTTTGATTAGGATCTGTGAAGTGTCAAAGTTTTGTGTTGGCACCAATGCACCATGCCTTGCTAGTGAAGTTGTAGTTTCTTATTTTGTTTTAGTTTCATGTAGCTTGGCAGTAGCAAGTCATTTTTTAGAATATGATCTAAAAACTAACTTGCTATTGCTTTTGCTTATTTGTTATTGCTTTTGTTTTATTAAGGCAGTATAGTTTGCCTATCATGTTTGACTGATGTTGTCTTAATATTATTATTTATTAGTTCTTGTTTTAACTATGGAAATTAGCATTATGGTTCTTAACATTATTATGATAGCATACTAGTACAATTCTTTCTTTAATTTTTGGGTTGAATCTTGAATACATTTTATTTAATTTCATTAATGAGATGTGATTTGCTATTGGTGAAAAGATTATTTGAAACTTTTGATGAATGATTGAATGGTGTATTTAATGGCGATGAACAGGTGTGAAACATGTTCTGTGTGTTAAACAGGTAGTGTTATGTCTGTTAAACAAGTTAAACAACTCGTATTATATGTGTTAACTTGAAAATGACATGTTTATTAAACGTGTCAAACAGGTCGGGTTCGAGTAACCCATTTAATGGTCATGTCAGATTAGTGTTTAAACATCTCAACACAGTTATTAAATTTGTCCGGTTCATATTTGGGGGTTTTCGACACAAACTCAAAACCAACCTGATACAAAATGATCAAACCCGACATATTTGACACCCATAAATAGAATATTATAACTTTGAATGCTTGAATTTTTTTTATAATAATTTTTTATAATTAATTCAAAATGTCGAAGGAGAAGTAAAAAAAAATACAATTAGATAAAGTTTTCTCAGTGGTTGTATTCAAAGACTAGTTTTTATTATTTGCTTTGGGTCCTAATAACTAACATTATAGGTAAAAGTGTAATTGGTGTGTTGATCGGAAGGATAAAATTGAAAAAGAAATACAATTAAATGGGTTAGGGTTAGGGTTAGGGTTGATATAATTGGTCTGTTGATACGAAATTAGGGGGTTAGGATTGGTCATTTCTCAATATGATCGTATATGACACAACTCGTTAATACGAATAATAAATATGTTAGATTAGTGTCAAACAGGAACAAAATGAAATTGACATGATTAACACATTTAAGAAGTATTATAAGAATAAATTGTCAATTGTTTATTATATTTTTGTCAAGTAGTGACCTAATTCTTGTAATAAACAAGATATTTTTACACATTTTTATTATTATATTTATTAAATTAATTATTAGCTTATAAAAAAGTATGAGCATATAATCGATTAAGTAAAAGTGAAATTTTAGACATAAAATTGAACATTATATTTTTTATTCACAGGTTTTATAAGTCAATAAGAATACGACACAAATATAAATAGGTAAATACGACACGACATGAATAGTTAAACAGGGTTGTCTAGTACTCGACACGAATCCGAATTAACACGACATGATACGATTACCACCCCTATGATTTTTCCAAAAAAAATTGTAAATTCATTTGTTCCATGCGGAATAAAGTATGACGAGGGGTGGAGTATAAAATTAGATATCACAAGTGTACTCTTGCAATTAAGAGAAGCCATAATAAAGATTTTGAGTTTAATCTGCCCAAAAANATACGATTACCACCCCTATGATTTTTCCAAAAAAAATTGTAAATTCATTTGTTCCTTGCGGAATAAAGTATGACGAGGGGTGGAGTATAAAATTAGATATCACAAGTGCANATGATTTTTCCAAAAAAAATTGTAAATTCATTTGTTCCATGCGGAATAAAGTATGACGAGGGGTGGAGTATAAAATTAGATATCACAAGTGCACTCTTGCAATTAAGAGAAGCCATAATAAAGATTTTGAGTTTAATCTGCCCAAAAATAAGAGCATATTCAATAAACAACTATGAGTTTGAATTTATTACACTACATCCTTCAATGTTTTACTAAATATAGCCATTCGTAAGAGTTATCAAATGGAGAAATGATCATGTATATATGTTGATGTAATGGACTCTACCATTAAAGAGAAAACAGTAGTTTAAAGTGGGACTTGACCTCCGCTGTGGTCTAATGTTCTGTTTGGTATGATAGATAAGTAGAAGGAAAGAAAGTTTGAGGGATAAATAAAATATTATGTTTGGTAAGGAAAGAAAATAAGAAAGATGAAAAAGTAGATGAATGAGTTTTCCTTCCAACTCGCCAAAATCAATTCCTCCAAAATTGAAAAGAACGTAGATGAAAAATTAATTATTTGTCTATATATCCTTTGATATATACATATATTATAGATACATTAATTTCATATATAAATACAATGATAAAATATGTATTTATATATTTTTCTTAAAAAATTAAAAATAAAAAATAAAAAAATATATTTTTAATAATACTAAGCACAAAAAAAAAATTAATCATTTTTATTTTTCATCCATCCTACCAAACACAAAGAAATGAAAGTGATAAAAAATGTATTTCTCATACTTTCCATCATTCCTAGCAAACAAAACAAAAGTTTCATCTCATGGACTTAACCGGGAAAAAATATTGATGTCGAACAGATAAATTCTACTATTTTAATGAGTATTTTTATAATTTTTATGCTTCAATTTACAATAAAAAAATTTATAACTTTTATGAGTGATTTACCATTTTTATGGATATTTTTATCACTGTTGTGATAGTTTTTTTTACCATTTTTGTGGTACTTGTTACTGATCTTAAAAATTACTACTCAAGTGGTAAAAATAGGTACCACAACAGTAATAAAAAAACTCACAAAAGTGATAAATGTCAGTACAATACCAATTTTTATTTTTTTTTGGCAAGATAGGCTTGTCCAAGTCCCATCTAGGGATGACAATGGACTGAAGCGGGGGACGAGGGGTGTAGTCTCCATCCTGATACCCAATTAAAAAAACTTCGTTCATCCCCGGTCCATCACCTTTAACGGGNAAGCGGGGGACGAGGGGTGTAGTCTACATCCTGATACCCAATTAAAAAAACTTCGTTCATCCCCAGTCCACCACCTTTAACGGGTATAGTTTTCATCCTCATCCCCATCCGCAAGTAAATTTGTAATCCCAGCCTTGTCCCCGTCTTCACCCCTGCTCACGCCCCACCCCCTCCTACCTTACTCGCCCTAGCCCAAATCAACATAATCCAAAATTCTAAATAAATCTAACATTCTAAATAATCCAACATAATTATAAAATACCATAACATAATTAAAAGTTTGTCATCTACAACATAATCCAACGTAATATAATTAAAACTTTGTCTACAACATAATCCAATATAATAAAACTAAAAGTTTGTCTCCCATGTAAAATCCAGCACAACATCATGCAATGTAATATAATATAACATAACATATTCCAACATAAAAAAAAAAAAAACAAAGATCTATACTTTTACAAGCCAAAAAAATGAAAAAAAAAATCAAAAAATAAAACAAAAAAGAGGATCTTGTATTCACAGCAACATGTATATATATAGATTTGTATCAACATGTATCAGAAGAAAAAATTATTTAATAATATGTAGATTTGTACAACAACATATATATAATATAATAATAATAATAATAATAATAAGGGGTAAAGCAGAGCAGGGGCGGGGGTAAGTGTCAATCCATCCTCTTCTTCATCCTCGCATGAGTTTATATGGGTATTCTCGTATATGTCCACTGTCCAATACGTATTGATGTGACACTTTTGAGAAAGAATAGGAGTCTGACACGTGTCTTCTACATTGAGGACACCTCCAACACTCTGGTGAAGACACGTGTCATCGGCACCTAGGGCACCTCTAGCACTCTGGTGGAGACACGTGTCCTTGGTACTGAGGGCACCTTTAGCACTCTGGTGATAACACGTGTCCCCTTCGTGATTAGATCCCAAAGAATTTTTCTGACACGTCACCTTAGCTCCAGGATGGATTATTGATAG